TCTGCACAGTCAAGGACACTATGAATTACCAGCGCCCCAGTGGACTCTGAGCCCATGACCTGAGAGCGTGGGCCATGCAGCCCTTGTAAAATGGGGCCGGGACCCTGCCTCTGCTTACTCGAGCCTCCTGTCCGTGGCTGGAAGGTTCTTGGTCCTGCGTGTTAAAGAAAAAAATGCATGCTCCTCGTTCGTATCCCCCCACCCCCACCCTGCCTTCCTGTGAGGTGGGGGTGGGGGTGGGGTGCAGCGCATAGAGAAGGCCTGTTCCCTGCACTTGAGGAACTCTGAGTCTACGTAGGGCATTTAGAAACCCTGACGATAAAGCAGCCATTTCTGAGACAATCCTGTGTTCTTGTTCTGATCCAGTGACACAAGGGAAAATGAAAAGATGGCTGGCATACTGTGGCAAAGTCTCCTGTTCTTACCCCAAGCTGTCCTGGGCACTCATCAGCACGGACTGTTGGGGAGCCTTCCCTTTGCTTCCAAACACTCGCCTGGGCCCATCTCTGTCTCAGTACTGCCTTCTTAAGCGCTGCTTGATACTTCTAAGGCTGTTTTCGGATGACTGTAGTGACAGAAGGATCCTTGCTGCGCTGGGTCAGGAACAGCCCTCAGAGGAGATGCTCGGAACCCCAGGTAGGGGGGACCATGCACCTTGGCGTTGCAAAGGAGGAGGACATTCTCTGCTCCTTTTGTCTTCTGTTCTTCTCAGGGCTGACTTTTAACTTCTCCCACTGTTCGGGCCCAGGAGGGGAGAGGATCAAGCCATATCTTGTTGCCAATGCATTTTCATCTCTTTGGGGCCTCATTACAGATACCGCTATGAGCCCTGCTTTTTTACAGGTGAGGACACTGAGGTTCCAAGAGGCAAAGGGGAGGGCCGAGTCGAGGCAAGCCACCCTGGGGCCCAAACCAAGAAGGAAGGAGGGAGTGTACATGAGTCTGGGCTAGGGCTGAGCTGAGAAAAGGCATCAGTACTTGAAGGACAGTGGCTGTTTAGTCCCCCGATGGTCGCCTTATTTGGGTTTGTTTTAGATGCTGGAGGAGGAAGGGGCAAGTTTGCCAGAGAGCAGATCAGATGCTTCTCAGGGTCAGAAAGATAGGGGTGGGGTGTGGAAGAGGAGCCGTTCACACAGTAACCCAACCTCAAGCTAGGTCTCTGGCCTCCACTCTGGGAGGGGCCTGGCTAATGAATCAGGCAGCTATTCCTGGAGCCGACGCAGGAGAGGGGACACTCTTCTGCCCTGGGGCAGGCGAGCCATTCTGGGGGCAGGGAGGGAAGGAAGAGGTGGTTCAGGGAGTGCACCCACAGATCCCTGAGGCCGGCTGTCTGTACAGGAAGCCTGACGACTGGCAGGTGCCTGAGAAGCTCACAGTGGGGCTTCCTGCTGCCATGGGTGGCCCTGGAGCCCAGGGTGCCTGGGCCTTCAGTCGGTGGGATGGGCTGTCACTAGGCATGGGCCTGCCAGTCAGGACACAGGTGTCTCTGGCCCTTGGATTACAGCCCTGTGCTGCTGTCCTGTTAGTCCCCACGCTGGCCAGGTCCTCCTTCCATCCCAGACTCAGCATACCAGCTCCCTGCCCCTGGAAGCTGCTCTGTCCCGGGCCCTCCTGAGTTTCTCATGTCCTACTTCCCAGAGATGTGACCATGGCCCCCTGACCCTGACTCTAGTCGGCTGAGGCCAGAGGAGACGTGATGGGCACTATGTATGTATGTGCGTGGGTTGGGGTGAGGCAGGGCCTTGAGCCTCGTTACAGATACCCCCTCCAGCATGGGCCTCCTAGAAATGGGGCCTGGCTCCGATCATTGGCCCCCTGCCCTCAGAGTGGATTTGGGCTCTACCCCTCCCTCGGCCTGGACCTGGTAGGTCCTCCAGACAGTGAAGAGCCAGCTTACCTTAGGACCCTTTGCTCCCTGAGCAGCCTGTGACTCTGCCTTCCAGGCTCTTGTTCCTTCTGAGGCTTCTGCCCAGAGTCTGGGTGAGAGCCCCTCTCTGCCTGTGTGGAGCTAGCTGTCTGCCAGAGGCGCGCTCAGTCAGGGGAGGGGTCTGCCTGCCGGGTCATGGCCGTTTGAACAATGGTGATAACACAGAGAACATTGATTGAGAGCTTTATAGTTCATGAAGCACTGTGCTATAATAAGCATTTTACGGGCCTGATCTCCTAATTTTCCCAGCAACCTATGGGGTGTAGATTACCAGTGTTCCTCCTATATTACAGCAGTGGAAACTGAGGCTAAGAGAGGTGGTCACCTGCCCAAGGTTATGTGGCCAGTGCGTAGATGGCCTATATTTAAATCCAATTTGATAATGTCTTATTAAAATCTCTGTTCTTAAATCCTAATTGTGGTGCCTCCCACTAAATTGGAACAGGATGTCTTTGGGAATAGTGACCTGAATTGGAGTAACAGTGTCAGGTAGGGAGGGTTCCTTCTCTGCTTCTCTCTGAACTTATCTCCGGAATCTGATGAGAACCCCACTGCTTCTCTCTCTCTCTCTCTCACACACACACACACACACACTCTCACACACTCACACACTCACACACACACTCTCTCACTCTCACGGAACAGCTGGGGCCAGCTGTAAGGAGGAGACTGGGGAGACGGGGACAGAGCTTTGCTGAGGACACAGCTAGTGCCCCCCGCGGGCTGTGTTTTGTGTGTTGGACGCATAGAATACGTTGGCCTCCTGCATGGCCTGACCTGGGCGAGGCGATCTGCCCACCTCGGCAGGGAGCGCTGCCCCTCTGCCCTGTGAATGCGGCCCTAAGTGGGTGCCGGCCTCCTCACAGCAGACCTGTCCTCACGCAGCTTTCCAGAGACCAGAGTTCTGGGCCCACCGCATACAGGCCTCAGTGTCTGAAACCCAGAGGACATTCAGCACAGAGAATGAACACTTTTCTTTGGATTATCAGTCATTCAAGCGCTAGCCTTCACACTGTGCATGTGCCTGGGATTGGGTTCCCTGACTCACGAAGAGGAAGCACTGCCCCCCCCCCACACACACAGCACCCCGAGGTCTCCTGAAAGGGACTGTGATGTAGGAGGCTGACTGAGTCACCGCTGCGCGAGTCTGAGGAGCAGCCTTCCTTGTGGGGGCGGGCAGGTCTGATCCGGGCCTTGCAAAGCACAGACATTTGGCCTTGACGGCGGGCTTGGGCAGAGCTGCTGCCCACGGGCGGATCCAGAGCCCTGGGATCCCATCCCTGCAGCTGACTGAGCAGTCCCGCGGCCACAGAGAAAGTGCTGTGGGAAGGAGGAGCCTGGATGCTTTGTTTTGTCTTGTTTTAGAGGCAGGGGAGGGGCAGAGGGAGAGGAAGGGAGAGGAAGAGAGAGAGAATCTTAAGTAGGCTCCATGCCCAGCACAGAGCCCAATGCAGGGCTCCATCTCACGACCCTGAGATCATGACCTGAGCCGAAATCAAGAGTCGGACGCTTAACTGAGTGAGCCACGCAGGCGCCCCAAGCCTGGATGTTTTGAGCAAAGGGGTGAGTGATGGGCATTTAAGTGCAGAGCAGTGGGAGTGTGCTTCATGAGAAGTCAGGACACAGACATGTGAATGCTGCCTTCTAGCTGATTTTGGACAGACCATGTGGACCTCCCTTGAGCAGTTGCCTCCTCTGTAAAAGGGGACGGCAGTGGGGTTTTTGCCCGTGGATGCGCAGGGCTGTACAGACTTCAGTCCAGAGACGGAGACAGGAATGATGAGGGTGGAGTCCAGGAGACCTGGGCAGGTGCCTTGGCTGGGGTGGCATCCATCCCATGTCCCTGCCATCCAGGCTGGTGTCGGAGGGCCTGAAAGCCAGAGCGGAAGTGTGGAGGGGATGTCTGCAAGATGGAGAGGACAAGCCCAGTGACCTTGTTGCTGGTATCAGGAGAGGGCTAAGGGGAGCAGTGGGCACTACTTTCTGGGTCCAATGAGTAGGCACTGAAGTTCCTGACGACACTGCTGAGGTGACAGGCTGGCAAGGGCGTGGTGAACGGAGGGGTTCTGCTAAGGAAGCGAGAGGAGAAAGAGCATGATGTTCGCCTTCAGGGGGTGAGCGAAGAGTGGAGCCATGGGGGTGGTCAGAGGGCCTGAAGATGGCCCTTGGAAGACTGTGGAGTCCTCCCGGGTGTGCGCAGGCAGGGACTGACCCTTCTTGCTCGGTGCCCTCTTTCTCTAGGCCTGGGCTCAGGTGGGCTTCTGACACCTGCCCAAACCTAAACCCCAGACTTGAAGGGGAACAGCAGACGAGGCTGGGGTTGGTGTCATAATTTCTGCAGTGCACCTGCTGTTGTTGCTAGAGGGGAAGGAACCTTGGCAGTGGGCAGTTGGGGCCAGGCATGGGGCTCAGCCTTAGAATTATTACCAGTTTGGGAGCACTCTCTGGTGTCCGAGCTCCTCAGAGGGAGTGGGGAGCAGTGATTTGAATCTGCTGCTCACCAGCTTTACCCAGACCTGAAAGAGTCAGCAAGGCCTGAGAGGAGTCAAGAGTTGCATTGAAGGCGTATGTGACAGGTGGGACTCTGGGTCCCAGGGGCCAGGTCAGGCTGTGAGGGGAGCAGGAATGACTAGGAGTGCAGATTAGATGGAGCCGGGTCGGGGGTCAGTGGGGGTGGCTGTGTCTAACAGTGACATGGGGAAGGTAGTCCAGGACTGAGGCCAGTGTCACCAGGGAGCCCAGTGCAGTCAGTGACAGCTGCCCCCAAAGACCCGGGAGCTGGCAGTTGGGGCAGAGGCTAGAAGGGGGCCGAGGTGTGCGGAAACTGGATAGGCCCTCCCTCCTGCCGGCGGGACTCGGCGGCGACAGTCCAGAAGCAACCTTGAGTGTGGCTTTGGAATCAGACAAGCCTGGATTGAGGAGAATATAAAGTGCAAAGTGAAATCCTCCACCCCTTGCCATACCTTGACCTTTAAGTTTCTTGTACTCTTTCCGAGACGTGTTTGTGTATGTGTGTATTTTCTTTGTACAGATCAAAGCGTGCTTATGTACCTTGCTTAATTTGTTGGCAACATGGAAGAACCACCTAGTTCTTTTTAATGGCTGTTTTCCTTTTCTGCCTTACAGTGTGCATTGATTTAGCTCGTCAGTCTCCACTGGACACGGAGGTGGTTGTTTGGGGTTATTTGGATACCGTGGCAGTCACACGTATCTGAACACTGAGACCATTACTTCTGTAGGAAATCCTAGATGTGGATTTTGTGGGTCAAAAATTGTATGCACCCCCCTCCCCGCTCTCTTTCGAAGGGGTCCTGCCAGTTCACACTGGCTGATAGTGTTTGAGGGTTATAAATGATGAGGGCGACACGCAGCCGTTGTGAGGATTACATGAGAGAAAGTGTAAAGCTTTCAGCCGGTGCCTGCCGCACCACCAGGCTGCGGGGCCGGGCTCTCTACGAACTGGATCACTTCGGACAAGCATCAAATACGGTGCTGGGTTGGGTTTCATGTAGCTCGGGGAAGGGGAGGTGGCGGGAAACCGTGGTCTGACAGGTGCTGAGCAGATGTCCCCTGCATTCGCACACGAGTTCCGGACGTGTGCCAGGCACCGGAGCAGAGATGGAGCCGTGAACCAGACAGGCGTGGCTCCCCGCCTCCCGGAGCCGGCCCTCTGGAGTCTTCCGTGGCCGGTGCTGCCTGCCGGCTGCGTGGGACGCCCCTCTGACCGGGTCTCTCTCTCCCCTGCCCCGACCCGCCCCCAGTGTACGTGATGGAACGGGAAAGGAAGACGGACACCGGATGTGAGGCAGCCCTGGCCGCGTGCTGGGCCGCCCTCTGCTGCTGCTGCCTCCTGGACACCTTGGACTGAGCGGCCGGGCCCCACGTGCTCCCTCCGGCCCGCTGCCTTCTGTTCCTGCAATAAACAATTAGTGCTGTACCATTCCATTTTTTTCTTTGAAAAATACTGCATCTGCAGATGTTTACATTTTAGCCCCTAGGATAGGTGTGAAGTGGTATCTCACTATCTTTTTAACGTACTGACTCAGCAGTTCTGCTCACGACGCATTGCTCACCACAATAAGGACAGTCACCATCTGTCACCATACAGCGTGTTACAGTATTATTGACTGTGTTCCCCGTGCTGTACTTCTCATCTCTGCCACTTACTTACAACTGGAAGTCTGTACCTCTTAACCCCTTTCTCTCTTTCACCCACTTCCCCTCTGGCCACCAGCAGTTCTCTATTTCAGACTTTTTTTTTTTTAAGATTTTATTTATTTACTTGACAGAGAGACACAGCGAGAGAGGGAACACAAGCAGGGGGAGTGGGAGAGGGAGAAGCAGGCTTCACGCAAAGCAGGGAGCCGGATGCGGGGCTTGATCCCAGGACCCTGGGATCATGACCTGAGCCGAAGGCAGACGCTTCATGACTGAGCCACCCAGGCGCAGACTGTTTTTTTATTTCACTCAGCATCATCCATGTTCTCACAAATGACCAGACCTCACTCATTGTTTTATGGCTGAGTAACGCTCCACTGTGTGCGTGTGTGTCTGTGGGCGCGCGTGCACGCGCATGTGTGCACGAGTGCATGTGTCTCTGGGGGCTGTTCTTACATGTGCCACATCTTTATCCGTTTATCTGTGGAGGGACACTTGGATTGTGCCCGTATCTTGGCTATTGTAAATAAGGCGGCAATAAACACAAATTAGTGTTTTTGTTTTCTTTGGGTAAATACCCAGTGGTAGAATTATTGGATTGTATGGTAATTAATTCTATTGCTAATTTTTTGAGGAACCTTCATTCTGTTTTCCAGAGTGGCTGCACCAGTTCGCATTCCCACCAGCTGTGCACAAGGGTTCCGCTTTCTCCACATCCTTGCCAACACTTATTTCTTGTCTTTTGGGATAATAGCCGTTCTGGAAGGTGTAAGGTGATATTGTGGTTTTCATTAGTATTTTCCTGATAATTAGTGATGTTGAGCATCTTTTTATGTGCTCATTGGCCAGCTGAACATCTTTTTTTTTTTAAGATTTTGTTTGAGAGCGCGAGCGAGTGAGAGAGCACAAGCAGGGGGAGCGACAGAGGAAGAGGGAGAAGCAGGCTCCCAGCTGAACAGGGAGCCCGACACAGGGCTCAATCCAGGACCTTGAGATATGACCTGAGCTGAAGGCAGATGCTTAACTGACTGAGCCACGCAGGCACCCCCATCTGTACATCACTGGAAAAACGCCTATTCAGCGGGCACGTGGGTGGGTCAGTCAGTTAAGCGTCCAACTCTTTTTATGTTTTTTTAAGATTTTATTTATTCATGAGAGAGAGAACGCTAGAGAGAGCACAAGCAGGGGGAGGGGCAGAGGAAGAGGGAGAAGCAGGCTCCCTGCTCATCAGGGAGCCCGATGTGAGCTCGGTTGGCAGGACCCTGGGATCATGACCTGAGCTTAACCGACTGAGCCACCAAGACACCCCATAAGCGTCCAACTCTTGATTTCTTTTTTTTTATATATTTTTTAAATTTATTTGACAGAGAGAGAGCACAAGCAGGCAGATCGGCAGGCAGAGGGAGAGGGAGAAGCAGGCTCCCCACTGAGCAGGGAGCCTAATGCGGGGCTCGATCCCAGGACCCTGGGATCATAAGCTGAGCTGAAGGCAGACGCTTAACGACTGAGCCACCCAGACGCCCCTCCAACTCTTGATTTCATTTCAGGTCATGATCTTGGGGCCATGAGATTGAGCCCTGAGTCAGTCTCCACACCAGTGGTTTTCACTCCCTCCCTCCCTCCCTCCCTCCCTGTGCCCCTCCCCCTCTGCTCGGGCATGTGTGCTCTCTAAAAAAAACAATAAAAAAATAAAAATGTGTAGTCAGATCCTCTACCCATTTTTAATAGAACTATTTTTGTTTTGGGTGTTGAGTTGTATGGGTTCTTTACATATTTTTGGTGTTAACCCCTTTGGGGATATGTCATTTGCTAAAACCTTCTCCCATTCGGTAGGTTGCTTTGTCACCTTGTTGATGGCTTCCTTTGTTGTGCAAAAGCATTTTATTTTAGTGTGATCCTAGTGATTTAATTTTGTTTTTGTTTCTCTAGCCTCAGAAGACCTATCCAGTAAAATGTTGTCAAGGCTGATGTCAAAGATTCTTGCCTGTGTTTTCTTGTAGGAGTTTTATGGCTGTCGGTCTCACATTTAGGTCTTTAATCCATTTTGAGTTTATTTTTGTGTATAGTGTAAGGAGTGGTCAGTTTCATTCTTTTGCATGTAGCTGTCCAGCTTTCCCAGCAGCATTTATTGAAGAGAATGTCTTGGGATGCCTGAGTGGCTCAGTTGGTTAAGCGACGGCCTTCGGCTCAGGTCATGATCCTGGAGTCCCACGGGACCCCACATAGGGCTCCCTGCTCAGCAGAGAGTCTGCTTCTCCCTTTGACCCTACCCCCTCTCATGCGCTCGCGCTCTCTCAAATAAAATCTTCAAAAAAAAAAAAAAAAGAGAATGTCTTTTCTCCATTGTATATTCTTGCCTCCTTGGTTGTAAGTTAATTGACCATATAAATGTGGATTTATTTCTGGGTTCTCTATCCTGTCTCCTTGATCTGGGTGTCTATGTGCCAGTACCATACAGTTTTTTTAAAAAATTGAAGTATAGTTAACACACAATGTTAAATTAGTTTCATGTGTACAGTAGTGATTTTACAAGTGTATATACATTATGCTGTGCTCACAAGTGTAGCTCCCATCTGTGACCATAAAACACTAATATTAGAGTACCACTGACCATATTTTCTGTGCTTTTATCCCCGTGACAGACTAGAAGCCTGTATCTCCCACTCCCCTTCACCCATTTTGCTCGTCCCTCATCCCCCCCCCCCCAACTTCCTTAAACTGTTCCCTAAACTGGGAACAGTCAGTTTATTTCCTGTTATTTATGGATTTGTTTCTACTTTGTTTTTTAGATTCCACGTATAAGTGAGGTCACGGTATTTGTCTACCTCTCTCTGACTTACTTCACTTAGCATAATACCCTCTAGATCCACCTATGTTGGCAGGACAAGATCTCATCCTTTTTTATGGCTGAATAATATTACATTGTATTTATGTACATCTTCATCCATTCATCTTTTGGTGGACACTTGGGTTGCTTCCATATCTTGGCTGTTATAAATTATGCTGCAGTAAACATAGGAGTGCATATAGCTTATCAAATTAGTGTTTTTGTTTTCTTCAGGTAAACCCAGTGGTGGAATTACTGGATCATATGGTAATTCTTTTAAATTTTTTGAGGAACCTCCATACTGTTTTTCACAGTGGCTGCACCAGTTTACATTCCCACCACCAAGGCACGAGGATTCCATTATTTCCACAGCCTCGTGAACATTTATTATTTCTTGTATTTTTGATTCTAGCCATTCTGACAGGTGTAAGGTGCTATGTCATAGTGGTTTGATTTGCATTTCCCTGATGATGAGTGATACTGAGCATCTTTTCATGTGTCTGTTGTCCGTCTGTATGTCTTCTTTGGAAAAATGTCTCTTCAGGTCCTCTGCCCATTTTTTAACCAGATTGTATTTTTGGTGTTGAGTTGTGTAAGTTCTTTACATGTTTTGGATATTAACCCCTTAGGAGATGTATCATTTATGAACATCATCTCCTGTTCAGTAGGTTGTCTTATCATTTTGTTGATGGTTCCCTTTGCTGTGCAAAGGTTTTTTATTTTGGTGTGGTCCCAGTACTTTAATTTTGCTTTTGTTTCCCTAGCCTCAGGCGACCTATTCAGAAAAATGTTGCTAAGGCCAGTGTCGAAGAGATTACTGCCTGTGTTTTCTTGGAGGAGTTTTTTGGTTTCAGGTCTCATATTTGGGTCTTTAATCCATTCTGAGTTTATTTTTGTGTATGGTGTAAGGAAGTGGTTGGTTTCATTCTTTTGCATGCAGCTGTCCAGTTTTCTTGGCACCATTTATTGACGAGACGGGCTTTTCTTCATTATATTCTTGCCTCCTTTGTTGTAAATTAATGGACCATATATGTGTGGGTTTATATCTGAGCTCTCTATTCTGTTCCATTGATCTTTGTGTCTATTTTTGTGCTAGTGCCATACTGTTACATTACTGCAGCTTTGTGTAGTATATCTTGAAATCTAGGATTACACGTATAGCTTTGTTGTTCTTTCTTAAGACTGCTTTGGCTATTCAAGCTCTTCTCTGGTTCCATACAAATTTTAGCTTCATTCTAGTTCTGTGAAAAATGTTGTTGGTATTTTGATAGGGACAGGATTGGATCGTAAGGCCTTTTTTTTTAAGATTTTATTTTTAAGTAATCTCTACACCCAACATGGGGCTTGAACCTACAACCCTGAGATCAAGAGTCAGACTTTCCACCTACAGAGCCAGCCAGGTGGTTCTACATAGTATGGACATTTATTTATTTGGACATTTTAACAATATTAATTTTTCTAATCCATGAGCATAGAATATCTTCTCTAAGATTTTATTTAGAGAGAGAGAGTACAGACAGGGGGAGGGGTAGAGAGAGAATCTTAAGCAGACTCCACACCGGGCACAGACCAACGTGGGGCTCGATCTCATGACCCTGAGATCATGACCTGAACCGAAATCTAGAGTCATACGCTTAACTGACTGAGCCACCCAGGCACCCCCATGGAATATCTTTCTATTTGTGTTGTCTTCAATTTCTTTCATCGGTGTTTTATAGCTTTCAGAGTACAGGTCTCTGACCTCCTTGTTTAGGTTTATTCCTAGGTATTTTATTCAGTATTTGACTATTTTAATTTACCTTCCCTGATTTCTAGTGACCTTAACATAAAAATATAAATTTTTGGTGATTTGCTTTTAAAAACGTTGATTTTTCTTTCTTATGAAGGTTTGTCTTACTGATTTATAGGAAGTCTCTAAATAGTCCACGCAGTAATATTTGTTACTTTGATAGACTTGCAGATATCTTCTCCCTGTCTCTTCATCTTTTTTATAGTGTATTTTCTAATATGAAAATTTTTTCAGATTTATTTATTAAGAGAGAGAGCACATGTGGGGGAGTGGAGGAGCAGAGGAAGAGGGAAAGAGAAACCCAAGCAGATGCCATGCTGAGAAGGGAGCCCAACATGGGGCTCAATCCCATGACCTCGAGTCATGACCTAAGCTGAAACCAAGAGTCAGACGCCTGACTGTGCCATCCAGGTGCCCCTAATAGGAAAGTTTTGAAATACCATGTTTATCAATCTTTCCCTTATGCTTTGTTCTAGTCTTTGAAAAACCCTTTTCTCCTCCAGTATCATAAAGCTAAGCCTGTATTTTCTTGTAAATTTTTTTCACATAGTCTTTCATTGACCTAATTTTAGTTTTGATAATGGTATAGGTTAGAGTCCTGGTTTTCTTTTTTTATTTCCAACATTAGGTCATCCCTTCCCGATTGATTTGAAATGGGATTTGTCATATATAAGTTCCCCTCTGTGAACAGGCTAGAATCAGAAGAGTCTGGTGTGATAAGTATCTTCCCTACCCCCAGCACATACACACATACATATGTATATACATACATACATACCCTTTTCCTCTTCAGAACTTGCTTGTCTGTTCTTGGCCTTTTAATCTTTAATCTGGATTTTAGGATGTGTCCTTTTCTATAGAAAAGTACCATATTTGGCTTTAATTGGAACAGTATGTAATTTACAAAATCCAGAACTGGGGGAAGAGTTGACATATTTATAGTACTGTCTTCCTATCATAAACATGGTCTCTCTCTATTTTGGTCATCTTTATTTCCTTAAGTAAAATCATACAGTTTTCATCACACAGCTTTTGCATATCTTTTTTGGCTTTTATTTTTTTAATTTTAATTTTTTAAAAATTTGAGAGAGAGAGCACGAGCAGGGGTGGAGGGGGAGGGCCAGAGGGAGAGGGAGTAGCAGACTCTGTGCTGAGCAGGGAGTCCGATGTGGAGCTCAATCTCACGACCCTGAGATCATGACCAGAGCCAAAATCAAGAGTCAGACGCTTAACTGACTGAGTCATCCAGATGCTCCTGAGGTCCATTAGTTTTAATGCTGTTGTGAATGGGTTCTTTTTAATTTTTTAACTTTTATTTTTTTAATTTTCTTTTTAAGATTTTTTTTATTTAACAGAGAGAGAAAGAGAGCACAAGCAGGGGAACAGCAGGCAGAGGGAGAGGGAGAAACAGGTTCCCCACCGAGCAAGGAGCCTGATCAGTGGGGCTTGATTCCAGGACTCTGGGATCATGACCTGAGCTGAAGGCAGCCTAACTGACTGAGCTACCCAGGCGCCCCAGAATGGATTCCTTTAAAAAAATACTACATTTTTGGGTGCCTGGGTGGCTCAGATGGTTAAGCGTCTGCCTTCGGCTCAGGTCATGATGCCAGGGTCCTGGGATCGAGTCCCGCATCGGGCTCCCTGCTAGGCAGGGAGCCTGCTTCTCCCTCTGCCTCTGCGTCTCTCTCTCTGACTCTCATGAATAAATAAATAAAAATAAAATATATTACATTTTTGGTGAAAATAATTTCTTCACTGTAGTGGGGTCACAGGTTAGAAGATTCTAAAGTTTTATCACAGCATTTTCTTGGGGCACTTGATTTACTTCTTAAGTAATCTCTATGCCCAAGGTGGGGCTCAAACCCACGACCCTGAGATCAAGAGTCACATGCTTTACCGACTGAGCCGGCCAGGCACCCCCACTTTGGGGCACTTTAAACTGTGGGAGGACTTATTCAGTCTATGCCATGCATACTCCTGGGGAACCACGGTCAGGCTACAAGGACCAACATTCATTGACTAAACGCTGAACATTTCCAGTGTGTTAGGTAATGGACCACACAGAATAGGACCTACTCCCTGCCTTCGTGGAGCTTCTTTGCACTCTGGGGAAGGAACCAGACGTTAGATAATCCCACGGGTAATAATTAACATTCTTCTTTCTTGTGAAGGGAAGATATATATGAAAACATATAAAAGGGGACCGTCTTGAACAGTCTGGGAGAGAAGATGAGTAGGTGTTAATACACAAAACTATTGTAGGAAGAGCAGGTGCCGAGGCCCAATGGCAGAAGAGAACACGCCTCATTTGCGAAACTAGAAGAGGAAATTAGCACAGCAAGAGCAGTGGGATGTTGGGAACAGATGAGAAACAGGAGCAAGATAAGGAGCTTATAATCCCAATTAAAGATTCTGGTTTTTTATCTGTGAGCAGTGGGAAGCCACTAAGGATTTTAAGCAAAGGGATGACATGACCAAATTGGCATTTTTAAGAGATCCCCTTGGCTTCTATGTAGAGAATGATTTTGGAGGGGGCACAAGTTCATGTGATGACGGAGAGACATGAATGCATTTGAGATATTTGGAAGTAAAATCAAGAGTACTTGGTAATGGACTATGGGGATTGAAGGAGAAAGGCACACTCCGTGATGATTCCTTGGCTTCTGACTGGAACTGGTTGCCTACTACGTTTGTGGAGGTTGGGAACTATGATTGGTTGGGAGGAAGAAAAAAACCATGTTGGGTTAGACTGAGGTGTCAAGACAATGAGACATGCAAGTGGAGATGTCAGGTAAGCACTTCTATATATAAGCACTTCTATATATACTGGGCTGGAGACAGAGCTATGGAAAGGCATTGGCATATTCATGGTAATCAGAAATGTTGGGGTGAATGAGATCAAGTTGGCTAGGGAAAAGAAGAGGTGGCAGTGGAGGGCTAAGCTTTAAGGAAAACTAAGTTGGATTACAGGTGATAAAACTTGCAAAGGAGTCAGATATGGAAAACCAGGAGAATGGGGTGTCCTGAAAGCAGAATTTGTATTTAGAGAAAGGGAGTGATCAGTAGCATCAAATGTTGCTGCGAAGTCAGGTCGGATAAGAATTCAAAAATGTCCATTGTACTTAGTCATGCCATTGTCACTCAGAGTGGGTTTCTCTCCAGTTCCTATTCTGTGAAGGACACCAACAGAGGGAAAGACAGTACTGCTAGGACCAGAGAACAGGGCTCCTCAGGACTGGAGGAAGGCAGACATTTGTGTAGGTGTGAAAGACATGAGCTCAGAGGTGCAAAGAACCAGCTGGGGCACGAAGGCTTGGAACCTCTGCCACACTGGAGGCAGTAAAACTGCATGCAATCCAACACCAGGTTCCAGAAAGGCCAGGCACCAAGTAAGGAAGTCAGGCTACTGTGTCTCAGCTTTGAGTCTCCTCAAGCAAACTGTGTCCTCTGCGGTGTCTCTTGCAGGGTCCACCATATAGATAACCAAGCGTGTGACCATCCATGCTCCAGGGAGGCCCTTCTGAACAGCAGCAACAGTACAGACCCTTCAGACTGTATTTTCACTTTATCAATCTTTTCATATTTTTCTAATATAGATCTTTTCAAAGGAAACTTTAAATGTAACTCCAGTATGGAAAATAGAATCTGTGGAATTGCTGTTGAGGCAGGAAGGGACCATCCCCCTGCCTTTTTATGGAAGCCCGGGGACCTGAGGAGTACATTAGAAAGCCTTCCAGTACATTTGGCAAAGGGAGATTTGGGTTGGATGGGTTTTGCCCTGGAATGCCTGTGATACTGCCTTGCAAATAAAATCGTGTGTGTAACTGCCGGTGTATTCTATGAAGATCTGGTGGGTACTTTATAATGCTGAGTAGCATTCCACTGTATGGAGATATCCGTGTATTTATTTATTCACCTGTTGAGGGACATTTGGGTTATTTCCACTTCTTGGTAGTCACAAATTCATGAGTACAGGTTTTTGTGTGAACATAAGGTTTCATTTCTCTAAGGTGAATACCCAGAAATGGAATTTCTGGATCGTATGATTTAGTGTATGTTTAACTTTAAACTGCTACAGTTTTTGTGCAAACAGAAGTTTTTTTATTTCTCTAAGGTGGATATGCAGGAGTGGAATTTCTGGATCATATGATTATGTTTCACTTTAAACTGCTACGTTTTACAGAGAGGCTATACCCTTTGCCTTCCCATCAGCAATGAATGACAGTTCCAGTTGCTCTGTATCTTAACCAGTACTTGATACTGTATTTTTTATTTTAGCCATTCTGATAGGTGTATCGTGGTATCTCGTTGTGGTTTTAATTTGCATTTTTTAAATAGCTAATGATGTTGCCATGTACTTATTTGCCCTCCTTATATCCTTTTTGGTGAAGTATCTGTTGGAGTACTTTGGCCACTACTAAACTGAGTTGTTTTGTTACTGTGGAATCTTTTTTAGGAGTCTTTATATAAACTAAATACAAGTCCTCTGTTAGGTGTTATTTGCAACTGTTTGCTCCCAGTCTGCGACTTTCCTTTTCATCCCCTTAACAGTGTCTTCCACAAAGAAAAGGGTCTTAATTTTGATGAAGTCCAATTTCTCATTTTTCTTCTTTTCTAGAGCGTGCTTTTGGCAACAGGTCTGAGAAGTGTGCCTACTCCTTGGTTATGAAGATCCTCTTCTGTTTTCTTCTAGTTTCTGGTTTTATGTTTTACATTGAGATCTATGATCCATTTGGGGTTAATTTTTATATAAAATACGAAGTTTAAAATAGTTGGTTTTCAATTTTTGCATGCCAGGTTTGTTTTTTTTTTTTTTAACATTTATTTGAAGAGACTATCCTCACTCCATTCAATTCCTTTTGCATATCTGTCAAACATAAACTGGCCATGTTTATGTGGGTCTGTTACTGCCCTCTCTCCTGTTCCTTTGATCTGTGTCAGTCCCTTTGCGAATACCATAACTAGCTTTATATTAAATCTTAAGATAGTGTAGCTCTTCCAGCTTGCTTTCTCAAAATTGTTACTCTAGTGCATTTGCCTTTCCATAAATTTTAGGACGAGTTTATAAAAAACACTGATAGGATTTTGATTAGAATTGCATTAAATCTGTAGATCGTTACAGGGCCTGATGAGTATTTAAGTGGGATTGCTTGCTCACTCTTTATTTTTTTAAAGATGTATTTATTTGAGAGAGAGAGAACCACCCCTTGGTGGGGGGCAGGAGAGGGAGAGAATCTCAGGCAGACTTGCTGTGGAGAGAGGAGTCCAACAGCCCAACACAGGGCTCGATCTCATGATCCCTAGATGATAACCTGAGCTGAAACCAGGAGTCAGATGCTCAACCAACTGGGCCACCCAGGCGCCCCTGCTTGCTCACTCTGATGTGCTATAACCTTTAATGACATAAGGCAGCCTGTTCTTCATTTGCTGTGTTGTGAGTATTCCAGAGTTAAAGCCCGAGGTTATGATTGATTATAGTGGTGTCTTTTGAAGTCTGGCAGTAAAGGAGGTATGATTATATATCAAATCAGGTAGAAATGGCTGGAAAAAGACAACCAGAATGTTGAGGGGCTTGTCAGGCAAGTCAGCCACCATCATTCACAACTTTGGTCTCTGTATCTCACTTCTGAGCAGGTCATAAGCAAGACTGTGTGCCATTAGCCAGCCATTAGGTTCTCTGTATTCAGGGTCGTAGAACTGTTGTGTACTGGGCAGGGTCAGATTGTTTCTCTAGATTTTCTTTAATTTCTTCTCCTTGGCGTAGCAGCCTCACTCATACTTCTTTCTCCAAAAACTGCATTAGAAATATACTCATGATCTACCATGATAAAACGAACTGCTTCCTCCCCTTTACTGTAGTGTCATCGTGGGAGCTTCGCTTACTTGTTGGCCCCTCTCTGCCCTTGGACCCTTACAGTGACAGCTTCTCAGTTCACGCCCATGGTCCTTCTGGTCTGAGACAGTGGTACAGACAGACTTCTAGTGAAATAGTGGGGTGCTAAGGAATCAGCTGTTGCTTGTGTTCTCGTCTTGTTTACTTCTTCCCATTAGTGACGTTCAGTCCCCTCCCCATGCTCTTGACTGTCTTTAGAATAAAAGAAAGAGGGGTGCCTGGGTGGCTCAGTTGGTTAAGCGACTGCCTTCGGCTCGGGTCGTGATCCTGGAGTCCTGGGATCGAGTCCCACATCGGGCTCCCTGCTCAGCAGGGAGTCTGCTTCTCCCCCTGACCCTTCCCCCACTCATGCTCTCTCTATCTCATTCTCTCTCTCAAATAAATAAAATCTTTAAAAAAAAAAAAGAATAAAAGAAAGATTGCTTTTTACCCCCTGAACTAAATGAGAAACACAGGTTATTCTAAGATATCTTTTCCCCTCACGGTACATGAGATTACTTACTCAAGTCTCGTGCAACAGAACTGGGACTGTCACCTTAGTTAACATTCGAGATTCCCTTTTGGTGGCTTATTTTCTTCTCACCAGCATGAGCAGTTCTTGATTATCTCCTCAGATACACAAAAAAAGATCTGTAACTGGAGTTTTATAAACTCAGCTGGCTGAGCCCCTCACCCCCGAGCTGGCCATCCTCCCGTCCGCTTGGGGCACGCAGTGATGTGCAGATTCCGGCACTCTTTGGGGCCGGAGGCCCGCGCTGCGGGGCCAGCAAACAGGAAGGCAGACGGCGCTCTGCCAGAGCTGCACGTCCATTCTGTTTCTGTGGCCGGATCTGTAGTGTCTGCCAGAGACGGACAATTTTTGAAATGTACTGTAGGATTGCATTATTTAGGAAACCCCATGATGAAACTTACCTGTTAGTAAATTGAGATCTTTTTTGACCTAATACTACTCCTCTTTGTCCGTATCGTATTTTCCCACGTTGTGCCATCCAGCTGTGGAAGAACAGAGCCAGCATCTCCGCTGAGGTCTGCCTGACTCCCACGTTGGTAGCAGGGATATGGGCCCTGGTTTGGGCCTGTTCTTTTGTTGGTAATGGTGTGGGTGGGAGAAGCCTTTATTTTCTGTTTCCTAAGTGGAGTGGGTTCCACTCTCCTGCTTACATAGCATGGTAAAGTACCAAGCACTTCTGGATCTCTAGCACTGCACTGAGTTCCGCATGAGGAAAGTGACACGCACTTCTGCCCTCCCTACCACACACCCTGCCCTGTTCGACCTCCTTGGCAACCTTGTTTGCTTCTGCAGCGCCTCCGTTTGGGAGGTGGGAGGAGAAAGATGGTCTTTTCACTTGAATATTGTATGACCATGGACAAAAAATGGTGTCAGCTCCCTTACTGCACTTCTGTACTTTTTCTAGACTGAAAAACGGGACTGGAGGGAGCTGCCTCTGTAAAGACACATTTATCCCTAGAGAATTCAGTCCCTTTCCTGACATTCAGTGAACATGGCTACCAATCCTGCTGGAATTTTTGGGATTCAGTTGTGGGCTCATCACATTTGACTGGCCTTTTTTTTCTTCTTTAAGGCGTAAGGAGAAACACCTTACTCTTCAGTCCTTCATCTTTGAAATGCGTACATTCCTTCCTCCTTGACCATCCTTTCATATTGTTTCCTGTCCTGTTCTTCTGTGGACCTTTGTGTCTGCATTGTCTTAATGACCGCCATAGACTCGTCCTATCTAGGCAGATGCTCACATGCACATGTATGAGGGTTTTCTTACTCTCTTTATCTAAAGAAATGAGACGTTTTAAATAATTCACCCTCTCTACTCTCTGAGGGCCCTTAACAGCTGAAGCTCTGGGTACGCTGCCTCCCTGGCCCCTTGCTGCTTCTCTGGGTTGTCTTGCCTTTCCTTTTCTTTGAGCAGCTTTTGCTTTGCATGGAATGCCAGTGTCTCTGCTTTTGTAATCCTGTGACAGTTTGGGGCCACACACACAAATACCATTCTGAATGTGGATTGATTGAGGAGCCCCTCCATGTACACAGACCCAGAATAAGAAAACAGATTTCTGGTGATTTCTTCTGTAGGACGCCATCACATTGTGGCTCCTATGTAAGTCCTCTTCCCTGCTTCACTTTATGCAAGGGCTTGGGCAAGCACTTGATTTATGTTTTCGTCAGAAAATCCAGGCTCTTAGATACTACTCCCCCACCCCCACCTCCATTGTGCAATGAGAAGACTGGGGCACAGGAAAGCTCGGACTTGTCCAGGGTCACAAAGCCAGCCAGTGGCAGCATCAGGATTGGAACTTGGACACTGCCCCTCTGGAGCTCATGTACATAGCCACTGTCCTTAGAGAACACAGTCAGCCCTCCTCTCCCCACCCCCAGGAGGTGCCTTGTTCTGGGCCAGCACACCCATCCACCTGCCTGCCTGAGGACTGCCAAGTGGATGCTGAGAAGGACCCTGAAATTCACTCTGCCTCCCAGCTGACAGTCAACTGCTGGACCAGGTCATTCTGTAGTAGTAGACTCTTGACTGTCGCAGGGACACACTCTAAAACAGGACAAGAACTGGATCTTGCCCTCCAACACAGACCTTTGATTTCAAGGGAGAACAGGGCCTAGAGAGAGAAGGGAGGACTTTCACCCCTCCATACACAGCCACATTTCAAGTCCCTTGCAGCCAGGCTACTGTCTGATTTGAAGTGAGCCTAACTGATAAACAGAGGCGGCAGGAAGGCTGGGGGACAAGCCAGGACTTGCCTTCAATTCACTATGTGATCTCAGTCAGATTACTTCCCTTCTTTGAACTCCACGTGGTTTTTTTTGCCATGAAATAACTGGTCAACCTGATCCCCCCAAGGCAGTTTCACGTGCAATTCTGGCATCCACAAGGTTCTCAACGGTCGCAGTGTCTACAGCCGACTCTGTCCCAGCTGCCCCAGCAGGTCTAGCCCAAGGAGGTGGTGGCAATGCAGTCCTACTTGTCAGACTGGCACAGCGTGTCCAAATGTGCTTGGTTTTTTTGTTTATGAAAAAAATCTTGTTATCAGGTCTACTGTTTATAGGACTGATTGGGGTGGGCAGGGCTAGCATGCAAACTGGCCTTACGACTGACCCACAAGGGGGTTGGGGGCCAGGGGGACTGGGGCTCCTTAGAGCCTTGTCAGATCTCTCCAAAGGCTCCATCTAGGTTTTGTCTAGCGGCTGCCTCCTTCATAGGATGGTGGCAACTACACTGGTGGAGATCTCAGAACACCCGCCCACACGCAGGTCAGCACGTTCTCACCTTTTCCAGACCAAACCACATAAACACCGGGCACCCGATGCCTGAAGAATGATGGTGGGCTTCGTGATCACTTGGATGGCAGTCAGCTGCATGCGCTGGGGGGTGAACTGGCTGGCTAGCTCCCACACTGTTGCACCCTGGAGTGGGTATCTTGGAACACTGAAGCAAGAGGGAGGGACAGGGACTTGGGAGACACGGCCTCGTCTGACTCAGTTTCACAGACAGTGTGGCCAGAGGTGAAGCTGCGGGAACAGGAAGCATGAGGAGCAGAGTGGGCAAAGTGGGCCAGGAGGCCTGGGGAAGGTGTGGAGCTTAGCCCAGCAAAGGCAGCTGCTGTCGGAGAGCCCAGGCTGGGCTGTGCCAGTGCTGCCAGCCCAAATCCCACCTGCATGGGGAAGACTAGGAAGGAGGCGGCTTCCCACCCTGTCCTGCTTTTAACCTCCACGCTCCAGTGGAGCTACGCGCCCTGTTCACCTCCACCTTTTCTGGCCACCCTTCGCCCATCGCTCTCCCCCTCAGCATACATACCTGGAACTCGTGGGCTCTGAGGGCAGGTGGCACAGTGGTACCGCCTTTAGAACATCTTTTCTCATCAGTGTAGCTCCTTGTCCTGAGTAGTAAGTGATCCCTCTGCACACGCGCATCCAAGCAAAGCTGAAGTGAGTCCTCGGCAAGTTGTGTGCTCTCCTCTCTGCCACTTGCATGGAAGGAACAGGATCCATCCCTATGGCTATCTTGAGATCTTGCTCAGTGCTAAAATGCTTAAAGATCTGCCCCTCCCTACCTCTTGGTCTGAGCAGTAGGAGGGCTGTTTTGGCGTCCTCTGATACCTCCTGCAAGTCTGGCTTTCTTCTGTTGGTCTTAGATTCTCAAGACTGGGCGAGAGCAGCTGAGCACAGACTATAAGGCTCCTGCCTCTGGCAAAGCCATCACCTCTGCTGAGGGTACTTCCTGGGAGCTCTTTTGGCCATGGTGGTCTTAGCGGTTGTGGAGCAGTCCTGGGTGCCCGTCAGTGGTGTGGGCCGTGAGAGGCCAAGGGGCAGCCTTCTAGTAACTGCAGCATAAAAGTCCCAAACATCAGAACTCTCCGGGAGGCCCAGTCTCTCTGTTTGCTTCTCCTTATTAGCTCTCCTGGGTTGGGACTGTGTACAGGTGTACACACAAACAGGAAGGGCCTAATAATGCTCTATCGCCACTTCAAAGCACTTGATGAATCATTTAAAATGTCTGAGCTGTTCAAGTAAAGGTTTCAGATTCCAGGGTAGGGCTGACTGAGGTGTTGGAGCCTTCAGCTGAGAAGGCCTCTGCTCACATGTCTTCAGGTCATCTCTGCCCTGGCCCTGCTGTTGCCTGGCGCCCCACGTGCGCACTGCTGCCCAGAAGCAGGTTTCTGCGTAGTGCCCGTAAATGGCACTGTTGGCTTGTACAACACGGCAGCGCCAGAACTTGGGACTGCTGGCTGGGGGGTCTGGCGGTTGGGGTTGCGGTGGGCTGGTGACTATGCAGAAGACCCCAGGGCTTGGTGGGCAGGTAGTTGGGCACAGGGGGCCACATGCCTCCAGTTATCTAACATCTGTTGTCTCTGCTTCCAGCACAGAGTCAAGAAAGGTTGGTGGGAACCTCTCCCAGGAGCTGCTCGGCTCCTTCCAAAGCTGCCCAGCACCCAAGACTAACCTAAGCCTTTCTGACCTAGTCTAGGTCTTTGGGTCACAGCTGGGTGCACATACACCACCCCCCTGCACACACCCCCAGCTGCCCTCTCTACCACCACACACACACTTGTGCACTTGCATTCCTGTGGCAAAGCTCTGAGTACCTGCCCCTCACTGAGGGGCGCTGTCAAAGGGCTATCTGGGACAAGCGACACCCGCTGGTGAGGGGACCGTTGGAGCTGATCCCCCACTCAGCTGTAGTTTTCTGGGAACAGAGTCCCTTCTTGCATGGGGTAGGGCAGAGGTTTGAGTTTGGTGGTCTTGGCACTGAGACACCAGACCCGAATGGGGAGGGCGGGCCTTCTGGCTGAGTTTGATATAAGCCAATCCCTAAGGCCCTGCCTCTGTCCATCGGGAGCTGGAGCCCAGGCTGGCCACAGCGGGGCATTTGATCTCTAAGGAGGAGCTCCATCTGAGCAGTGCCTGTAGGTATCAGAACCTGCCTCCCCACCTGGGCAGACTGCTGACATACCCGGAAGGACAACGCCTTCTCCCACCCCTTTTTAAAGTCTGGTATTTCGAAATAATTTTTAGACTCACAGAAGAGTTGCAGAGAGTAGTTTCTGTTCACCTAGTTTTCCCTAATGTTTAACATCGTCCATAACCATGGTGCTTGCCCCCTTTCTATGCCCTGCGTGCCGGCGGAGGCCACTTGCCAGGAAGGCCTGGGTATGAACACGAGTGCTGGCGTCCTCTCTGCCACAGCGGGGCTCCTGCTGGGAAAGCAGTTCTGCCGGGGCTGCTTCAGGGCACACGAGTCCTCGGGTTTCGAGTACCCTGGGCCGCAGGCAGAGTGGGCTGCATTCCAACCGGCCAGCCAGGACAGTATAGGAGCTGGCGGACAGACTGACCCAGTCTGACCCAGTGGGTGGGGGAGTAGGGGAGGAGCCGTGAGGGCCCCCGGTGGGGTGTATGCTGGGGAAGACTAGGCCGTGTTGCCCAGTGCAGCAGGCACCCTCTGGAGGTGCAGGACCTCAGATCCTACCCGTAGGCAGGGCATCTCGGAAGACGAAGCTGTATGCCATTCGAGAGCCCCCCGGTGGGTGCTGTGAGGAACTGTGAGGCCTTCCTCAAGAGCTTTCTCCTGGGCCAGTCACCCCTGCTTTGCGTGACAGAAAAGCAAGGAAAACTTACACATTACTCCTACCTCCAGACCTACCCTCCCCACACCCTCTTCCACCCCCTACTTTTTCAGTAGTTTGGGGGTAGAGGTTCTGTTGTCACCTAATGGAAAGGAAAAAGTCATAAGGGCTTCAGAAGATTCGGCACTCCAGGAAATAAGTGACAGGGTTTCTAACGTATGCTGAGAACTTACACCGCCCCCCCGCCCCCCCTGCAAAATGAGGTTGACGCAGCCCTTTGGTTTGATGTCTCCTGTCCTGTAGCCAGATGGATTATTTCTAACCACCCCCCCCCCAGTTCCCCCTGTAAGCACTGTCTGGGAGCAATGAGCTCCAAGTCCCCATTGCCCCAGGTTTCAGCGCCTGTCATGTGAAATAAGCCTTAGCAAGGACAAACTTGACTACACTGAAGGAGAAGGGTGTTAGAGGAAGTTTCCCTGATGAAGTTGCCCACGGTCCCATGGTACAATGGGAGGGGAGGAGAAGCAGTGAGGATGGGGGTTGTGAAGACTGAGTGGTATTATGTATAGAAGGCTGTTGGCACAGGCAGGTCCCGGCACATTTGTGATCTCAACAAATGGTAGCTTAGGAGAGGCTGCAGGACCTCTCACACAGCAACCAGACAGGGTCTCAGGCCTAGGTGAGGCAGGTGGTTGCTACAGAGCTGGCAGGGGAGAGGGCCCTTCTGTCTCAAGGGCGGAAGAGCTGGTGCTCTGGCAAATAGAATACAGTGAGGGATTATTCTGGGGGGTGTGCATTCTGTTCTGTTCATTTCCTTGTCTGAAGCTGCCCACTGCAGGATGAAGGGAGGCTGGGACTTGGGTAGGTCACCTGGGCAGAGAGCAGGTGAAAAGGGCTCTCCTGCCGAGGTGGCCCCAGGGGTTTGGACTGTGCATGCCTTTAGTGGGTGGGGTGAGCTCTAGCTGGTGAGAGAGAGGATGGTCCTAGAGCACATTCAGTCCTGCGTTCTTCCCGATCCCTTTTCTACCCCAGATGGGCCTGGGCAAGTCTGGCTTGCCAGGGGCCTGGGTTCAGACCCTGGGCCTGCCTCTGGCTGGTTATGTATGCTTGGACGAGAGACTTAACCTCTCGAAGCGTTGCATTGCTTACCTGTGAAATGGGAATGATGGTAGTGTCTATGTTCAGGTACTGCTATTAGGACTAAATCAGGTAACGTACCTTATCAGGCCTCAGAATAAATGTCTTCTCCTCTTTCACTAGGCTTCCCTGGGGCTGGGTCTTGTCTCCCAGACCTCAGAACAGTTTTGCTTGTGTTGCTGAGTGGGGGCCAAAGGAAAGCAGGCTGAGTTGAAAGCTGTGCCACAAGAGAAGGGAGGTCTGTGGAGGGTGGCTGACACAGTGGGACTTGGAAAAGCTCACTACTAACCCAGAGTATTCTAGCTACTATACCAGGCTTCAGAGAGAGGAGTTGCCGAGAGATGAGGTATAAAAATAGATACACAAAAATAGAACTGAAAGAAGACTGCCAAAGGACCAATTTAACTTACAGATTCATGTATTCATTAACTTTGAAAAAGTTTAAAATCCTTACTACTTATGAGTTTAGTGGTGGTGGCTGTCTTCAGATTTTCTTAAAAGGGGCCACAGACCCTCTGAGACCAAGGTTGACCATCAGCCATTTTAAGTATGTGCTTAACCGGAAGGAAGGCTGATGTCGGCCGCCAAGTCAGCTGACTAGCGAAGGGAAGTTGGGGTCCTTTTTGACCTGTGGACTTGTGTAGCACTCAAATTTCTTAATAGAGCACTTAGCCCTGACAGGGCTTATTAGAGTTCCACGACTCCATTCTGCGAAAAAGCCACGGTGCTAGGTTCCAGCCATCCCTCTCACTTGACCAGGTCTTCATCCCTGCCCCCCACCAGTGTGTGTGAAAGGTAAGAGGCTGGGGCACACGTGATAGTGGGCATTGCCCAGGTTTGAAAAACCAGGACTCTTGGTTATTCTCTTAGGGCCTGCAGTTCCTTTTTAGGAACTTTATGCCTTCTTTTGGGAGATGGCATAACGGTATCTGAGGAAATACCAGTAAGGTAGAGGACACACTGCTGCCTGGTTTCTAAAGCAAGCAGGGCTAACCAACTCTGGCCAGACAAGAAATGTCCCTGCCTTCGTGTGAGGCCATCTTGTCCCGGCAGGGATAAAAGTCCTTAGGAGGAGGAGAGAAAGTAGTTGGGGAGCTAAGCCACCCTTCCTCCGAACATCTGCCACAGTGTAAATGAAAGGCTGCCCCAGTCTGCCCAGTGGCTCTTGGCTGCCACAGTCCACCCCTGGTTTGGGAGGCCCTGGCTCTGGGAGGCCCTGGCTCTGTGGGGCCTGGGCTTTGTGCCAGTTCATTCTCACCCTCCCTCTTCTCCCTCCAGTGTATGTGGTGGAAGACCAAAGAAGGGATGACCTGGGCCCATCCACCTGCCTCACAGCCTGCTGGACTGCGCTCTGTTGCTGCTGTCTCTGGGACATGCTCACCTGACCAGCCCAGCCTCCCTGTCCTGCCAGCTCTGCCACCACCTTCAGCAGGTGGGCCTGCCCCATCTCTTCTGATTGCTGAAATCAAGGAAAATGACTAGCTCTGCACAGAAACTTCTACCTTCGACACAGTGGGATTCTAGATTAGCAGGGGTTGCGCTGCTGTTTAATTCAGTGACTTTATCTTTTTAATGTTTAAAATCCATTTCTTATTGGCCTTTCACAAATGTGCTAAATGACTTTTATTTTTTTGGCCAAAGGCTTAGTTATATATTTATAATTTTAAAATTATACATTCAAGGTAGTGACATGATGTAATACCACTGAATGATTTCTCTGCTAACACCCTGTATGTTTCAATAAATTTGTCTAAACCTCAACTGAATGAATTATTCCAGACAAAATATAAGCCCTGGGTTTCTCCACTAGTAGCCACTGTCCCGTGACGAGGGAGTCTATTTACGTTTTCATTCAGGAAGGCAGGCTCCCTGGGGTCCTCACCAGGCTAGCATTTTCTCCCTCGTCCCACCCGGAGACAGGCTCACCAAGCTGCTGTAGGTGCTTTTACCCAGAGCCCACGCCTTCTTTTCTGCTGCCCGCCCTCCGCGCCCCCAGCCTCCCTCCACACACACAGGACAGAGAAGAGCTGTCATCCAACAAGCTCTCAGCTTTGGCCGCTGGGTGGCGCTGAGCCGCCATAACAGAGTCCTTTTCCTTCAGCTAGCTGGCTCGGCCAGCCCTGGGAGGCTGCAGTTGACAGCTCTCTGCCCACTTTCACTCTGCAGCAGTGATGTGCTCATAAATATTTAACTACCAGTGCTCTTTAAAACAAATCCTTATTTTATCCATCACCTGATTCTGTGGAGTAAATGGTCCCACAATAGCTGATTTCAAGCTACCAACATGATGTCCTGAACGCAGAGTTGGGAAGAAAAGCGCAGGAGTGCACCATTATGTAGCATTTCCATCATCCAGATACAATAGACTGTTAACATCAAAAACATAGATAATGGCCAGATTTAGTAATTGGGAAGGGGGTAAGTCCTGAATATTTATTACTCTTATTTTAAATTTGTGTATATTTACCTAAATTTTTAATAATGGGCTGTGTTTCACAACTGGCTTGAAATAGTGCTAATGCTTGTTTTAAAAATTGGCTCTCACAAGCCAGTACAAGCCAGCTCCAGCACACCACTGCCCCTGAGCCTCTAGGAGTGTCCACCTCTATGACACTGGCCAAAGGGTTAGACAGCCATGGAGGTACTGCTGGTTTATTACTGCATTTTCTTCAGGAACATTTGTGAGGAAGAGGAAGGAATCTTTGGGCACACTGCCACCACAGTTACTTGAATTCAGCTATGCCCTGGTTTCCTTCCTTCCTTATCTGCAGGGAGGCTCAGAAGGTGAGGGATTTACTCAAAGGAACAGAAAGGGGAAAAAAAAGGGCAGGAAAGGCTTCAATAAAGAAGGAACAGAGCCAAAGCCCTGGAAGGAGACAGAACAGGGAGGGAGCTGAGGTTGAAAGCTTCTGCTTCTCTGGCCCTTGGTTCTCATCCTTTGGCTTGAGAAAGGCAGACTTAGTAGAGTGGCTGGGGGAACAGATGCCTTTTATTGGTCTAAGCAGCATAACTAGTGATAGGCTTGGGCAAAGCCCCCCCATGTCCTGGCTCCCAGCTTCCCTCTCTTGGGAGTTGGTGACTCACTCCCAGGGGAGAAGAGTGTTCTGGGCAGGGGTGGCAGACAGAGCCAGGACAAAAAACGCAGAGTTGGGATCTGAAAGGGTATCAGGGTGAAGGAGAAAACACAGGGTTACCAGATCATCCAAAAAAAAAAAAGTCCATCAGGGCAGGAGAGAGGATGCTTTCCCCACATGGGCCCCTCTGCCCTTGCCAGGAATGGGAGGGGGCAGGAAGCTTTTGCTAGAGATTTCCTACTGTGCCCTTCGTGCCATCAGCATCTCCCGGATGTTGTCCTCAGCTTCCTTCACACTCCGCTCCAGGTAGGATTTTTTCTGCTGCAGTATGAGAAAGAAACCAGAGTTAGGAGGTGTGGGCCAGGTTGGCAGATGCAGCTTTTATGGCCAATGGTAATGGCTTCTCCTATGTGACCAGTGACTTCCAGTAGCATACTGTCTAATGGGGGCCAGGTACACACACACCTGACCAGAGTGCTCCCCTCCTCCCACCCACAGGCCTGAGCAGGGAGGAAGTGGTGATTCGGTTGCAGGAAGCAGAAGTGCTCTGTGGAAGGCAGCTGTGCTCTTCCCCCAGGAGGAAGTGGACTCAAAACAGGCGTCTCAGTACATGAAGTTATACCAGACAGACAAAGGCCAGGAAATACCAGGACAAAGCTCTGGCCCCATAACAGACTGTCTCTCAAGGTTTTCCATGGCCTGGGCCAGGCGCCTGGAGCTGCCACTGCTGCGGAACGGACAGGGTACCAAAGGGTTCTGCTCTGTCCAGTGAGCAGACAGGCTGCATGAGTGCTAAGAAGTTGTACCCCATGTCTCACCGAGCAGATGCGTCAGGCTGAATGAAATCTGCTTTTCTCATGAAACCGCTGCCTGCCAGGAATCCAGGACAGTGACACACTGAGTAAAAGAGACCTTTTGGAAGTTTACCTCCTACCCCATCTGGGTCCTAAATTAAAAATCTCAACTTAGACAAAGAACTTTAACCACTTGCAGGAGCCACATCTGGGCCAGGATTACAAAAGATTAGTCAAAGGAAATGATGTCTGTACATTACTTGCCCTGCGGTCACCTAAAAAGTATGGTGGCTTCCCCACTGGTCCCTGCCCTGAGGACATAGTTGTGGCTGCATTCCCACTTAAGAGACATGAAATGAGGCTCCCTTTTTGAGGAATACTCCACAAATAGTCCCCTTTCTAAGGGTCCATGTGACTGGGCCACACTGGAGCCAGGCAGTAACGCAAGCCCGGAACCAGGCAGCTCAGGGGGATCCAGTGCCCTTCTCACTCACCCCTACACCTTTCACCCTAGGAGCTGTGGATTCACTGGGACCACGGAAGTGCCCAGATGACCTGGGAAAACCAGGCAATATTGGGCCATTGAACAGGTGAGCAGTCTGGCCTGACAGGCTTTCCTTGGGAACTGATGCCCAACCAAACCACTGAGGCAGGAAAATCGAAACGAAGGCGCGCTGTTGCTTGAGGCCTTCACTATTAAAGTCTCTGGTGTTCTTCTACAGATCCCTGTGGCTAACTTCCACTCTCTGTCCAGATTTTTTTTTTTTTTCCCAAAATTTTGTTTGTTTGACACACAGAGAAAGTGAGAGAGACCGAGAGAGAGAGAGAACGACCATGCGGGAGGGGGAGAGGGAGCCTGAGATCATGACCTGAGCCGAAGGCAGACGCTTTAACCCACTGAGCCACCCAGGCGCCCCCAGGTATTTATTAAATGATACATTTAGAGATGTTTTCCTATTGGCTCCAATGTTGTGGCAGCTTTATCAGTTTTTGTGTGAACTTGATTCCTGTTGGGTCTTCTCCTAACTTTGAATTTCCTGAAGGCTAGAAAGAGCCCTATCTCTTTACTCATCTCCCATCTGTCCAACTTGCACACAGCTGCTGTCCAACCTGTAAACAACAGGAGCTCCATAAAAACTCACAGTGGCTATGAATGTATACTGTTGCTAAGGAATTTATTAGGCTGCTAAACCTGATACAGTCCTATCATTGTGCTATCAGAATGGGAACTTAAACTTCCTTTGATAAACAACCCCTAGACTTGACATGTGGTGACTTAAAGAGGGAAATACTAGTAACTCCTGACACACCACTCAAGAATGTCCATGTACTGGGTGTTGCACAGCAGGGGAGCAGCAGCTAAAGACCAAGTGCCATGAACCATCTGGGCACCTTCCCAGCCCCGGGGGAATGTGAGGAAAAGGCCAGTGGGGCAAGCGGGGCTGGACTCCCGCAGCATGTGCTGGTGCTCAGGGACCCGGGTCCTTTGCATTCCATCTCTGCCAACTTGCTGCCCCAACTGTCAAAACCGTAAACTTGGAACATCAGCTGGAGCTTTTCTACCTACTGCACAGGCCTCTGGACAATCAAATTCAGGTTATAATTCTTATTTTAAAATTCGTCATTCTATGTCTCTTCTTCCAGTTTCAGTTTTATGATTTTTTTCATGATTTTTACCACTGCATAACCTAAGGTCTTCAAGTTTGAAAAAATAATGCAAAATAAACCTACCTTTAAATCTTTAATTAGCTTAAGTAAATTTATTGCACATTAAAATTTTCATTTCATCCTAATAGATAGGTCATCCCTAGCACCGAACCTGTTTTCTAACTTTTTCAATAGTTCCTGTATTATCCTCAAACGTACCTAAGCCAAAAAGACCTTCATAATCAAACCCGAACCAGAGTATGTGATGTGCGTTGCATTGTCTCACAAAAAGATACGTTGAAGTCCTAACCCCCCATTACCTGTGAATGTGGCCTTATCTGGAAATAGGGTCAAGTTAAAATGAGGTCATGCTGAGTTAGGGTGGGCCCTTAATCTAATGATTAGTGTCTCTATAAGGCCACATGAAGACGAAAGGGACACAGAAACAGAATGCCATCCCCTGATGGGAGGCAGAAAGGGGAAGGACACATGTATAAGCAAACGAAGACCTCTGGTCAGCAACCACCAGAAGCTAGGAAGAAGAAACTGAAGGATTTTTTCCCCAGAGGCTTCAGAGGGAGCATGGCCCCATGACACCTTGATTTTGGACTTCTAGCTTTTAAAACTTGTGAGAGAATAATTTTCTGTTGTTTTAAACCAAGCACCTTTGTAATAATTTGTTAAGCAGCCCTAGGAAACCATGAAATGAGGGATGTCCCAGAGACAGAATCTACCCCAAAGTTCTTCTGTACCCACAGCTTCTGACCACACTGAATCATAGAGGGCTGGCTAAGGATCCCTGTAAGTTAGTACACTGGGACCTGTATTTCTCCCAAGAAAACCGTGGTAGAAGTGATCCAAATACAAACAAGACTGTCAGAAAAGATGCAGAAAATTAAGGAACCAATGATCAAGTCAAATTTTTTCTTCCTTGAATTTCCACACTTTCTTCCTAAAACTACTAGTCAAATCAGAAATCCTATGGACCCATCTTCCCCATTTCTGTAAATGACAACTCCATTCTTGCAAATGCTCAAAACCTTTGGTGTCATCTTTGAATCTTCCTTCTTTCACATCTGACATCCAATCAACCAACAAATCCTATGCACTACCTCAAAATGTATCCAGAATGTGACCTTAATGTATAGCCTCCTAAGTGGTCTCCTTTCTTCTGCCCTTTGGTCCCCATTAGTTTCTTCTCCACACAGTGCTCAGAGTCCTCTGTGAACACTTAAAACCCTCCAATGGCTTCCAATTTCAAAATGAAAGGCAAAAGCCTTTTTGCAAAGCCATGTTTAGTCTTGTTCTCAGCGGACTCTGACCTCAACTCCCTCTCACCCACTCAGCTCCAGCCACACTGGCCTGCACCTCTGACTCTGCGTTTCCCCTCCAACCCACCAGCCGTGCTCCTGCCTGGCTTTTGCCCTTTGGCTCTCTCTCTTAGGAACTCTCTTCCCCACATATCCACAGTACTAGCTCGCTTACTTCCTTCAGGCCTTTCTCAAATACCACCTCATCGGGAAAAGCCTTGACTATTATGGCAGCTCTGTGCTCCCTATTCTCACCCTGATGTGCCTGCACAGTCCATCTTCCCGTACAAGAAAGAGAAGTCCACAAGGGCACGACTTTGTTCTGTCTGCTGATATCCCAGTGTCTAGAAAAATGGCTGCTACATGAGAGGAACTCAATACCTGTTGAATAAAAGTGCATTTATGATGGGAATGATGACTTACTGATATACTTGTATACACACTGCTTTTTAGTTCTCCTCACAACATGAATGAATGAGGAACACCAACAGAGAAAGCAAAGACAGAAAATGACCCTCTCCTTCAAGATGATTTTCAGTTTGGGCCAATGCCTCTTAACCTCTGCCCCTAGGTAAACAGAAGTCTCTCAACTCTCATTGATGTGCCTGGGAAAATCACAGGCTTACTTCTACAAACAGAACAGGCCCTAAGGGTCAAGCCCTTTATTAGATCAACTTGTAAAATTGTAAAACAAACTATCCCAATCTCCCATGTCCTGGAGTTGGAAATCCTTGAGAAAGTGTTTGGAGCTTGGCCAGGGCTGCTGTGAGCTACAAGGGGGATTAGGACTGCTGTGTAAACTCCAGGAGGCCTTTCAAACCCACACCTTCCAGCAGGAGATGGCCTCACTGCAGCATTTTTCTGTCTTGCTGAACAATCTCCCTCAGAAGCTTTCCCCTAGGAAATTCTCCAGTGGAATCAAACCACAGAGGTCTGGGTGCAGCGACATTCCTGTGGGCCTTGTTCTGGAGTGAAATTCTGAGATTTCCTGTGGGGCTCAGCATGGCCAGGGAAATGACATTGTTGCAGTTATTGCTCATCAGCCTGAGGTTCTCTCTGGGAGTCAGGCTGAGGGGCCAGTGTTCCCTTTATGACCTCCCATGAAGGAAAGAGGCTCAAGTCTGTAGAACTTTCTTGACATGACATAATCTCTCAAATAGACCGCTGAGGTAATTCATCTCGTGATGCTATCTCTACAGACTTTTTTTCCTTAGGGACTTTGTTTCCCTCTCTTTCTCTAATATTTCTCCTGTTTGCCATTTCTTAAGGTATAGAAAGTAGTTTTCCTCTCTCATCCTCTATTTCCCCATTTGTAAAATGAGGATTTGGACTATGCAGGTATCCTCACTCCCCCATTATTATTCTTTAGACACAGAGCTTTTTCTTCAAATGAACTCTTGTCTCAAAGACAAATAAGACAGGTAAAATAGAGCTGGGGGAAGGGTTGGGGAGAGATTCGGTCGATAAAAGCAGAACTTCTGGCTTGTCCCATGCCTCCAATCCAGGCTACAGGGGCAGTAAAATGCGCATCTTGATTCCCTTCTGCCCCTGATGTTCTGTGAGATCTGTG